CTTTTGCAAGGTGACTACAGGGCTCGCAGCCGGTGCTCTTTGAGGACATGAGGTCAGGGCAGGACAGGCAAGTCACAGGAGGCATGGCCAAGATGGGTTTCTCTCCTACTCCAGCTCCTCCCTTCCCTCTCTGCTTCCTGTCAGTCAGGCTGGGCTGTCCTCCGCCAGGTGCCTGTCCTGCCATCCTGCCTTGGAGCCAACAGATTACAGACTGAGACGTGAGCCACAATAAAACTCTCCTCCCTTTAAGTTGGGGGATTAATGGGGGATTTTGTCCCAACAAGATGCTAGGTTTGTCACAACTGGAGGTGAACGGGGTGCTCTGGGCATCTAGGGGGCTGAGACTAGAGAAGCTGCTGTAGCTACAGCACACAGGACAGTCCCCCACCTCAGAGAAGGACCGGCCCCAAATGCCAGAGGTACAAAGAAGAGAAGCCTGCAGCGTGGCAGGCTGTGGAAAGGAGCCTGGGCTCCTTTGTCCTGTGTCCCCCGCTCATGGAACCTGCGCGGCATGAGGATGGCTGGGTGAGTGGTGTTCCAGGGGCAGGGCCCACCTTACTCCTTTGGGTCGGGGAAGTTTGATGCCCAGTGCTGGGCGACTCTAGGACTGCTGACTGTGAGCAAGGCCAGCATTGTCGTGGGGCAGAAGTAGGTGTGGAAGGGGACGTCACATGGCTGCAGATGCTGGGGGCTCCGGGGGCAGCTAGATCTAGGACAACTAACTCAGGTCCAGAACTACCTGAAGTCTTTTGAAAGACCTGCCCGCAAAGACCCAAAGACCTCTCACCAGACTCTGCCTCTTAAAGCCGCCCCTCCAAGCATGGCCACAGTAAGAGCCAAGTGTCCAACACTGGACCCTTAGGGGACAAAGCTCATGCAGGCCACAGCAGGGTGCACAGCGCATGTGTGCAGGAGGTTAGAGCGCTGGGGTGGGAGAGGCAGAGGGCAACATACCGAGACCCCTGGCCCCGAGGTCAGGCCAGGCTGGGGGCAAGAGAGGAGGAGACCGGATTTGTCAGGCTCCTGGTCCTGGCTGCTCCTTGGAACTGGGGGGACTCGTGAGTTCTGAGTTTGTGGAGCCAGGTTCTGCTCACTGGATGTAGGTGGGCCCTGTGACAGTCTGTATGCAGCTGAGGGGGACTTGGGCTCATCAGGCCTTTGGTGAGGCGCTGTGGTCTCATCCTAAGAGGCTGTACAAGGCATTTATCTTGGGCGGGGAAAAAAGAGGGGCAAGCATGCTTCATGGTCAGATTTGTTTTGGGGGTAAAACAAAAACAGATGACTGAGGAGCAAATCTGCCCTGGGGTGGGCCCGGGTGCTCACTTAAAGAGCACCCCGGGAAAGGCCACTGTGGCTGGGCCAGGCTCAGGCCAGGGCAGCTGGACTGCAGGACCAGAGCACGCCGGGCCTTGTGGCTTCTTTCTGCTTGGAAGGGCCCCCTCGTCCTGCAGCGGTCTGCCGCAGAGGCTCACTTTGGGGTGGGAGATGGGGTGGACACAGAGGCCGGTGACCTGCAGCCAGGGTCTGGCTCTTCAGCAGAGGGCAGCCCAGCGCGACATCTGTTTCCACTCTTGGCTGGCGCCCGACAGGGCTGGCCGCTCTCCTTGGCGGATTATGCAACCTCGGGGCTGTTTGCCTGTCCCCCTGCCCTGGGCTCCGCAGGAAGCCAGCGAGGACAGGAGGCACCACTGGTGACCCGGCTCCTCCTGATGGCCTTTTGCTACCTGTGTCATCAAATCGCCAGGACACCAGCCGCCAGCACAGTGGGTACAGCGCCCACGCCACACTGACGGGCCCAGGAAGGGGTTTGATTTTTTCCCAAAATTTGAAAGAAGAAAAGCAGTACAGTCCAGCTTGAGTTGTGCTTATTCTGATAAAAGATCTTTGTAAATGTATTTTTTTAATAGAGGAAAGGGCCTCCAAGGATGAGGACCATCAGGGCTCCCTGCTACCAGATCAGGAAAGGCCCAGCCTGTTTCCCGCTCTTGGCCCTACCCGAGCTGCCCCAGCCCTGGCTCCCAGCCCCCCCAAACCCCCGGAAACCACAGGTGGTCTCTGAATCCAGGAAAACACACTCTTGTCATGCTTTAGGCTCCTGTTCCTTTTTATTTTGAGACAGAATCTTGCTAAGTTTCCCAGGTTGGTCTTGAACTCAAGATCCTCCTGTCTCAGCCTCCAGAGTGCAGGGATAACAGGTATACACCATAGCACCCAGTTCCTTCACTGCCTTTGACCACGTGGAACACTGGCCTCCAGCACAGGGGCCATGTGGAGCCCAGTCCTAGGCCTGACACTTACCCACGGGGCACCCAAGGCAAGTTCTGTCCCTCTCTGGACCACTCTCCAGCCTCCCACAGCTCTGAGAGGTTTGATGAATGAATATTCCTAAACCATACAGATGTTAATGTTAAGACTCAGTTTCCTGACCTTCAAATGGAGGTGGTGCTAGTGCTTGCCAGGTACAGATGCGATAAGAGTGAGTGATTGTTTTCAGAGCCCCCGAGACTGAACATGCCACCTACGTGTTTCCTAGAAACACTGATTGATGACTGACTGCTTGCTCTGTTTGGGAGTCAGCCTTGGAGGGTAGGGGCAAGACTCAGTTTTACTCTCCTGGGTACCCCTAACCTTGGCCTATAACATATACGTGAATGTTTGATGAATGAATATTTGGTGACTCAATGGATATATTCTTTAAGCCAGTGGGTTTCTCTCTGCTGGGAGTCACTCATACTTCAGCAGGAAGTGTGAATTAACACCACCTCTGCTTGATCTGATTCCTACATGAGAAAACGTTCTGCCTCGCAGAGAAGTACAGTGAAGGCCCCTGCAGTGAGCCACCAGACGGGGGAGTCATTTTTGCAGGGCCAAGAGGGCAGGATTTCATCCTGGACCTTACAACTGAGAGCCATGTCCACTGCCTTTTTAGCGTGAGCTCCTAAGTATTCGAACTCCTTATGTTTTATGTATATACTTTCTTATCTTGGTTTTTTGAGACAGAGTCTTCTTACATTTTAGGCTGGCCTTGAACTCACTAAGTTGTCCAGGCTGGCCTGCAACTCTCTGAGGGCCTCCTGCCTCAGCCTCCTGAGTGCTGGGATTATAGACATGCAGCACCATGCCCAGTTTTGTCATATTTTTTAAGGCATATTTTTCCTCCTTTCCTTGAAGGAGAGGAACCCTTGGCAAGAAGCTCTGAGCAGCACAGTCCGACCCAGGAGGCCCTCAGAGCAGGGAAATAAAGGCCTGGCTGGATCCCGGGCTTGGGCGGGGGAGGACCCCGCCCATCCGTGGCTCCACAGGAATTTGCACTAACTGGGCTGGTGATACAGCCTGGGAGGACAGCCCGCGGAGACGGGGTCAGGTTCAGGCTGCCAGAGCTCACACAAATTGGAAGGGCTTCCCAGCTTGGAGCAGGAAGTCCTGGGGCTTGGCAGGAGAGCTTGGGATGGGCCCCAGGCCCGGCCCGGCTGTCTGTCGCTGTCTGGGAGGCTCCATGCTGTCCTTGATCAAAGGGGAGCCTGCTTCCCAGGGCGCAGGGGCAGCTCTGTGTTTATCTTTCCTCTCTGGACTTCTGCGTTCCCACAGGACCCACAGGCCTGGGGTTTCCTTGAGGGGTGACCTGTAGCGTCTTGGAGACTTTCCTTTCATAGGTTAATATTGCAAAGAATTAACCCACAAGTCAGAGCCCCAAGCAAGGGGTCTAGACCAGCCAGAGAGCACTTCCAGAGCCCGAGGGGTGCCTGGCCCCCGTGATGTGTAAGGAAGCTCAGACCTGCCAGACCACAGTGGCTCTTGGATTCTGGCCCTAGTCTTTGCACAGCACAGGTGGTTCCTTTCCGCCTAGGGTCACCACCAGCAAATGCACTGAGGCAGCAGGCCCAACACTGCTCAAGCCAGGCCCAAAGAGGGTGCTGGGGTGCAGCATAGCCTCACAGCCCAATGGCCCCAGCATGGGGAGGGTGCTTCCTCTTGCTGCTGCAACAAAGACCATGCATTTTGCCTTCACATCAAGCAGCAGCACTGCCCTGTCCTCTTTCAGTTCTGCAGCTTTAAATCGGGTCAGCCTGCCTAGGCTGAGCTCAGTGTGGATGCCCGCAGAGGCTCTCAGGGATGCTGCGTCCCTGTCCTTCCCAGCTCACAGAGGGAACTTCCTCATCCCTGGATTCGAGACCCCAATGTCTGTCTTTGGAGCCACAGGAGAGGATCTTCAAGCTGACCCTCGTGACCCCCGCTAGAGCAGAGCACGTGCGAGGAAGAGGGACCAGGGCTGCTGGAGCCCAGCTCGGTGCCTGGCACAGAGCGTGCTCCAGGAGCGAGGTTTCTGCGCCCCTTCCCTGTGACAGACTCAGGGGTGGGCTTGGCAAGTTCACAGTTGATGAGGCCAGAGGCGCTCACACAGCTGCCCTGTACATGCTGCTCACTCGACCCTCATGCCAGCCCCGGAGACAGTGCCCGTGACCCTCAGCCTTGCCCTGGCCCTCCCCTGTGTCTGATAGAAATTGATATTGGAGACAGGATTTGAAAGACTGTCATTCTTTACTTTGCCAGATTGCAGAAGATGTGAATCAGAAAAGGCTTTATCAGAAAAACTACACAATTCGTTCATTGTTTTTCTTTGTCTTTTTGAGACAGAGTCTCGCTATAAGCTCAGGCTGGCCTGGGGCTCACTTTGTAGCCCAGGCTGGTCTCGAACTCACAGCGATCCTCCTGCCTCAGCTTCCCAAGCGCTGGGATTACAGGAGTGCGCCACTACCCCCAGCTTGATTTGCTATTTTTTTAAAGGCTGTAAATTGAAGCCTAGATGTGGTGGTGGGAATAAGGCAGCAGTGACCTTGGGTGAGGCTGGGTAGCAGCCCTGACACTCAGGGCTGAGTGCTGGCGAGGAGAGCCGGAAAATCTCAGACCAGCGCTGCTCTGGAGCAAAGCACGCATGCCGCAGGGGCAGGTCATCCCTTTTCAGGGAGCCGTATCAGACAGGAAGAGGAAGCAGGAGCAAGTCATGTAATGATATGTTTTATTGAGCTCAACAGAGTCAAAAACTAGCAGTGTGGAGCATAATTCCATAAAAATTCCCGGAATGCAGTCGCCTGTTCTCAGGAGCCTTTAAAAGTACAGGGCAAATCTTTCTGCCTAGGGCAGATCTGAGTTCCGACCCGTCGTGTCTCATGTGTCACTGCTCCCAGGGGCAAGGGACTACTGAGGCAGTGGACAGTGTCTGTGCAGAGGGGCCCACCGCCGGTCTCCAGTGACAGATGCCTCATGGCTGTGTGTAAAGACTGGTGACACCGAGGGGACAGCGGGGTTGACAGAGAGCAGTGTGGAGCCAGCCTCCTACAGCAACAGGCAGATAGATGAGTGGGGAGTGCCCTGTGGATCTTATGGCGACTCAGCTGCAGAGACTGGAAGCCAGCAGGACCCTGCAGACTGCAATCTAGTCCTAGTGTCAGTCTATCAGACACAGGGGAGGCCAAGGCCAGGGCAAGGCTGAGGGTCACGGGCACTGTCTCCGGGGCTGGCATGAGGGTCGAGTGAGCAGCATGTACAGGGCAGCTGTGTGAGTGTCTCACAGACCTAGTCAGGAAACGGGATGAGGTGAGGTGGGCGGGGACAGCCAGGACAAAGGCCAGGCGTCTGGATGGACAGAGACGCTCAGGCTGGAGTGTCCTCTTTGGGGGTGGGATCAGCTCTCCCACGGAAATGGGGCCACCCACAGACAGAGGCAGGAAGTGGGCCAGGAGCAGAGGGCAACGACGGGAAGCCTGTGGGAGGTGTGGCTGTCCCTGGAAAGCTGGGCAGGAGGTTTCCCCAGGGTTCCTGAGGGATGAAAGGGGGGGGGGGGGCAAGGGGGCGTGACTCAGGGAGAGAGAGTGACAAAGCCCGGATCTCAGCCCTAATCCTCTCCTGGAGGGGGCAGCTTCTGCCCTATAGGTGGGAAACTGAGGCACAGTGGGGTCCTCATCAGTGGGTGGGCTCCCCTCTCCCCTCCCCAGCCTCCCGAGATCTTCTGACTTCTGAGTTGCAGCCTTGGCCGGAAGGAAGTGGGGAGGGTGGTGGCCGGAGCACGGCCCACAGGGCTTGGTACACAGTTTCAGGACAAAGAAATGGAGGAGCATTCAAGACTCCAGGATCAGGGGAGGCAGGGAGGCGTCTCTGGAACACAGCGTTGACCACACTCCTCCCTGCTCCTGGGAGCCCTTCTCAGTCCTACAGAGAAGCCTCCCCAAGTTCGGGATACCCCAGTGCCAGCTCTCACCGCTGAGTGCCCTGGCCGTGCTCTGCGAGGACTTCAGAGACCGAGCCTGTCTCCACGCTGGTGTGAGACCACTGTGCATTAAAACAGGCCACCTCTCAGGCTACACGTTTGCTGCTGTCGCTATTCAGGAAGACCAGGAAGCGTGGACAGTCCCAGCGGGGCTCTGAGGTGGGCTGGCAGGAGAGGGAGTCCCTTTGGAAGGCGCTGGCTCTGTGTAGGCACCCACCCAGCCGGGGCAGCTCCTGGAAGCCACCTAAGATCTGATGAGATCACAGGCGCTGCCACCTTTCCTCCCTTTCGCCTCGGTGACAACACAAGCCGGGGTTCCAGCCTCCGCTCTGCACTGTGGCAGAACATCAGGTGGCATTGTGCCTCTGTTTCCACATCTGTAAGATGGGTGTCACATCAGCCCTGCTCAGCTGGGCATGAGAACAGTCCACAGAGCATGCTTATGAGGCTAAGCGTGGACTGTCACCCCCGCACACACTGACCTGCACGGCAGGACAGACGTGACCAGCTGTGCTTTGCAGGTCTGGTGTCACCGGAACTGCATGGAAGCTCACTACATGTGGAGCTGCCCCAAAGCCCACATCAGGAAGCAGGAGCCCGGGGTCTTCCCATGGCCACCCACCCGGCAGCTGGTCTCCGGGCAGCTGTTCTGGGCGGACAGTTTGGGGCCCAACTGGGAACTTGGCTGAGGTAGTTCAAGCCCCACCCACCCTGGGCGGCCCCAGCTTGCAGCCCTCACACCTCCTCAAAGGAGGCAGGAGACAGAGTCCCACAGGACCAGAGACGTGGAGTCCCACAGGACCAGCTCATTAAGCAGGAGTCTCGCGTGGCGGAGCCATTCCCAGCTACTTCATCGATTGATCGATTGATCGATCGATCGTGGAGTCGTGTGCCCCCTCCTCCTGCTGCCACAGCTGCTAGAGCTACTGGAGCTACAGCTGCCCCTGTGGGTCAGAGACCGAGGCCAGAGGTCAGAGGGCGGGCTAAAAGGAACCTGGCCGGCCAGATGCCTTCTGGGAGTGGGAGCATGTGACACTTCCGGGCACAAGAGCCAGGGGGCCTGGGGAGGGGAGCTAAGAGAGGCCGCAGTACACACTTCTGTTCCCCTCCAGGCCCCACCCTGCAGCCAGTCCCTCCTTTCTCCGTGTCTGCAAGGTCTTTGGCCAGAGGAAACGCCTTGCATCGGCTGCAGGATGGGCAGCTGCGGAAGGAAGGTCCTCTGGGCTCTCTGTCTCCTGCAGCTGCTGGGAGCTGGCTCTGCCGCTGACATCTGGAAGCGTGCCCTGCGGGACAGGCTGCCAGAGAGGTCCCGAGTAAGTGCGGGAGCCGTGGGTGGCCTCTGCCGGTGGGGGCGGCTGCAGCGGGAGACCTCAGCGCTGAGTTCTTCTGCAGGTGTCTCCTCTGAGTGCAAGAGGAGTGTGTGTGTTGGACAGACGGACTCTTGTCCTCCCAAGCCCTGTTGGCAATTGGGGGGTGGGCAAAGGCTCCCCGATTGTGGCAGAAGGATAGTGCCTGGCTTGGGACTTGAAGCCAACACTTGCTTCCCCCTAAAAACCAGCGCCTATGCAACGGCCCATGGATCTGAAGCGGTGTTTTGTCTCTGTCCACTGTCGATAACCCAGGGAATGTGAAATGGAGTTACACGTGGTTTATACATTCAGTAAACTTATGGCAGCTGCTCCACTCCTCCTCAGCTGTGTGACTTCAGGCACAGTGGTGGCATCTCTGAGCCCTTGAAGTCTCAGCCACAGACGGCTGTTTCCTTCACCACTGTTTACCAGGTATGGTCCTGGGCTCAGGGGAGGCGGTGATCAGATCTCTGCCCGGTGAATCCACCCCACCGTGGAAGCAGCGGAGAATCAGTAAGAGGAGTCGAGCTTGCAGCTTTCTAGTGCCAAAGAAATGGAGCAGGAAGAGGGTGGCAGAGAGCAGGGGCAGCGTAGGGTGTGATCCAGTACCCCGAAAGGTGCAGATCCACAGGCTGAGGCTGCGCAGGGCACAAGGCGGTGCAGAGGGTCGAGTGGCATCTCTGAAGCTCTGTGCGTGAGGGAGGATGTGAAGAAAAAGCCACACAGAGCATTTAGCATGTGGTGGTCAATGTGTCATGAGGCTTTTAGTCCATGAAAGTACACGGTGCTTGTCTCCAGGCTGGGACACGTGTCCTAGGTTGGGCTGGGCTCTATCTAGTGCACTTGGGCAGCTAGTGCCTGCCTCTAAGTCAGCACCTAGTGCATCCTATGCGTGAGGAGTGAGCAGTCGCCATGCAGACAAAGATGCCTGTGCATGTGGTTCTGTCCCAGGAGAAGCAGGGCAAGTCCTTGGGACTTAGAAACATTTGCCTGAGGCTTTGAAGGGTGAATACAAATTTGCTAGGTGCTGGACACAAGGGAGGAGGTAAAGTTTAATGACCCCAGGCATGGTGGGCACAGGAAACTGTACTGAGGCCATGCTGGGTCTCCAGAATCCCACTGTCCAGGCTGGGCAGGTGCTCAGGGGGAGAGACAGGTCGTCCCATGGGAGGCAAAAAGCAGCAGAAAGCAAAATGCTGGTAAGTTTTTTTGGAGGAGGGAGCGCACCCTAAAGCCCCCTGGAGGAGGTGGACACACTGACGAGGGCTTCAGGAGGGTAGCGAGGGGATGGAAAAGCCATTAGTTAAGCCTTTAAGAGATCGCGATGCTGACGTGAAGTTATCGAGGTGAGGCATCCACTGCATTCTGTTCAGTGAAACAGCCAGTTCCAAGCCAGTACATGTGGCACTGCCAGTTTTTGATTTTCAAAAAAAATGCATTCATGAGTAGAGGCAGGAAGGAACCATCTAGAACAGTGTCCCCTAGATTGGTGATCTGACTGTTCCTGGGAGTGAGCTGCCCAGCGCCTTTTTAAGAGTATTTTCGACTGTGCTGTCATAAAATGTTTCTAAATGCTGGGAACTAAGGGTTGCTGTAAGGATGTGAGGCGCCGGGAGTGTTAATCGCCTTGATTGGAGTAATCATCTCACGGCGTGCATGTGTATCGGATGTGTCAGTGCACCCTTTGCATATTCTGGATTTTGTCGATTATACTCGGTATTTTTAAAAAGAGGGAGAGAGAGGAAGAGAAAGCGAGAGGAAATTAGGCAGGGCGCTCACATGTGGGGACTCCAGCACTGCAGGGGGTTTTGGGGTAGCAGGATGGACTCTGGTCTGTGAGGCGGAGTCAGATGGGGGCATCACAGCGAGCCCAGGGGTGCACAGCAGCCTTGCTTAGCACACAGGATACTGGGCAGCATGCCAGGCCCAGAGTCACCTCTCAAGAGCTGTTCCCTGCTGGGCTGTACTCTGCCTCTCTCTGGACATCCAGTCATCACCCGGGAAATGGAGGAGAGGGACCAGGTGATCTCCACTGCCCTTTCTGTTCCCATCCTAATGTCCATTCTATAGTATCCAGCAGGGAACTGGGCCCTGGGCCCTCGAGGACTGTGGGGCTGGGCTGGGCTGGGCTGTCGTGGGGTTCAAAGGCTGGGGGGCCAGCCCTGTGCTGGAGCTGAGTGCATTGTGCAAATTGTACCATGCACACTTAGACTTGATCACTTGCTTGGAAGAGAAAGCACACAAGGGCTCCTGCCGGCTTGTGGCCCTTCCTCATGGTCCTGCTGTGGTTCACTGCTTCCCACGTGGCAGAGCCAGACAGCTCTGTGATCCCTTCCAACCCCTCCCCAGTGACTTCACTGAGGCTGCAATTAGCCACGCTGGGCCCAGTGACAGTGTGGACGCTGCCCACAGGCTTTTGTTTCAGGGCTGGGTCTCTTGAGTGCCGTGGGGCTGGTGAATTTCCTGAGCAGGCAGCACCAGCCTGCGTTCCCCCCGGGGGGCCCTCCAGGAGTCTCCTCAGACAGCCCCCATCTACCACTTTCTGGCTCCACTGGAATGGCGAGTTCCTGCTCCTCTCTGAGTCTGTGTCCTTGTCTGTAGTGTGGCTTTTTGGTACCTGCTTCACAGGGTCAGGAGAACCACAAAGCCATCGGCCTGTCCTGGCACAGATCTGCATTCTCTGTACATGGGGCATGCAGTGTGTGCAGGTGCGTATGTGTGCACACACGAATTGTACACATACAGATGTGCGCACAGCAGAAGCAGTGATTCACGAGGCTGGGCTGAACAGCAGCAGAATGTTTGTGAATGGCTTCAAAGCCTTTCTGGGTGGCTCGGGGTTGGTTCTGGGCAGCTGATCTTTTTTGGCTTTTCTTTCCTGGCATTTGAAGAGATGATAATCACTTACGAGCACTTCCTCTGTGCCAGGCCAAGTGTGTGTCATGCTGAGCTCTTGGATCCTCTTGACCAGCCTGGGCCCAGTGCCCTGATGCTCCTTGTGGTCACAGCTGTGGTTCTGTTGTCTCCCAAGTACTATCCAGGCCAGCAGAAATGGTTGTTCAGTTTGCATCCCACCCAGAAGTGCCGGTCCCACTAGGAACCTCTGTGCTGCATCCAATCAGCCTGGACTCCCTTTGTGGTTCATCTGCTTGGGGAATGGGGTTCGGGGTGTGCACAAAGGAGCCAGATGTGACCATAATGCTGGCGTTCCTCAGTTTCCCCAACCTGGCTCTGCTTTCTGCTGTTACTTCTATGAGCTCTATTTAGTCATTTGTTTAGTAGTGCTGGGATAGACCCAGGGTCTCACGTGCTAGGTCACTGCTCTCACAGGGCTGCATCCCACCCCTCAGTGAGCTTTCTGGGGCCTGCCTACGCCTCCTTTTCATTTTTGCTAAATAGCAAAGGAGGGCGAGGCAGGTGGCGTGAGGGTCAGTGCCTGCACCTCTCACCTCTGCCACCCGAGCCTTCCTCAGCCTGGTGCCCCAAGCTTGCTGGGACAGCCTGTCCTCCTCGCCTGAGATCTGTGGTATGGATGAGATTGTGTCAACCCTTCCCCCTCAAAAAACACAAGTCCAAGCCCAATCCTGGGTCTGTGAGTGAAATCTGATTTGCAAATAAAGTCATGCAGAACTCATGAGTTAGGCTGAGGCCACACTGTGTCAGGGAGAGGGCTTGATCCCGTAGGACTGGTGTCCTTAAAAGAAATGACACAGAAGCAAAGATGCAGACAGAAAGGTACGGAAAGACAGACAAGAGACCGAAGGCATGTGTGTGTGTGTGTGTGTGTGTGTGTGTGTGTGTGTGTGTGTGTGTATGTGTCCGTGTGTGTGCGTGTGTCCCACACAGGACCAGGGAGCCCCAGAGGGAAGAGACTCAGCCAACCTCTGATCTTTCCCTCTGGCTTCAGAACCGCAGACTAAGTTCGTATCAGTGCTGGGGCTTGGCTGTAACTTCCCACGCCCAGCCCCAGAGAGACATATGCGGGCCACTCCGGAGAATGGAGAGTAATGCTTGTCCAGGCGGCCCCGACTGGTAAAGGTTTCTCAGAGAAAGAAACTGGCGCCATAGCACCTGCTCCCCTGGCATTTGGACCTGGAGTATGAAGCTGTCACTATACTGGGTCCTGGGCACTCTCTGTGCTCTTTGAAAAATACGAGCCCACATGTCCTGTGCTGCAGGAAGCCATCAGGAGACCACTGAGACGCTCCTGTCTGGAGGAGCAGTGCCCAGTGTACCCAGGCCATGGGTACCTATGGCTGAGGCCCTGGCAGAGCCCTAGACTCACCCTGGTGCTGGAAGGGAAGTTCACAGCCTGCAGGAGTGAAATGCAGGATCTGCCAACCCCAGTGTAGCCCAGATGGCCTGGATGGAAAGAATGGAAAGGAAACGAATACTGTGGCTTTAGAGTGAGCTTGGCCAGACCTCCATCTCCTCTCTGGGCCTGGGAGGGAGGGAGGAGGAAGAATCCAGGTCCTGTGTGGTTATAATCAGGTACTGAGAGGGAGGTGGGATGGAGGAGAGGGCAGCGGAGGGACCCCCCCCCCAGCAGCCTCGAGGTGGAGACAGCTGATGTCCAGCAGGTGGGGGGATGGATAAAAACCATGTGGTCCATCTACATTGTGGAGCATTGCTCAGCCATGAAAAGGAACAAACTTCCATTACATCACACAATGTGGATGACTCTCCTAATCATGGCGCTAAGCAAGAGAGCCAGATAAAGGTCACATAGTGGATGAAACTATTTGTATGGAACTATCCGGAACAGGCACATCCATAGACACAAAGTAGATTTGTGGTTGCAGAGGCTGGGCAGGGGAAGAATGGGGATTGACTTCTAAGGAGAACACTTTCTTTGGGGCGAGTAAAATTTTTAGAAACAGATAGTGATGGTGATTGCACAACTTGTGGATCTGATGGATGCCACCGAATTACACAATTAAGGGTGGTTAAAATGACAAATTTGG